GGTATAACCACGTTGATATATTCATAGGTAAATTTATAATTAATGCTATATTATGCGGTATAAATATTTTGTATCGGAGAAGTAAAAATATCCTACTACCTTATATGTTCCCGTGGGTGTCGTCGGAGGCGACGGAGGGAAACTAAGGCAGTAGATGAGCAGCAGCATCTTTCTGATAACAGCAAAGTAACAATAAAAAACTGTGGTTGCCAACCTGTTCGCCAAGCGTGCCAACTATGGCAATATTATTAGGGGTATATTGCAATAATAGCGGGAGTTACAAAGAAGCGGCCTCCGTTTCCTGGCGACCCCGCCTCCTATTCCTGGCTACGCTAGCGACCATGGCAATGGCGAAGCAGGGGATGCTAAGAATCTCTGGTGTATGTTCGGTTGCCACCTAAGGCGACTCGACCTGGTATCATATAACCCACTCACCATGAGAAATGATGAGAATATGCTGTATCTGGATCTGGAAGAAGATATAGATAAAATGCACTAGGATATTACAGGATATCTGAGGTCCTTAGAGAGGGGGAGGACACGGTAATACTCTAAACCAGCAACTTGTTCTGTTACCGGGAGCACGACTATCTGTCCAAAGGAGGTGTCGGATTTTATCGTCCTCAAGTCTCTCTTTAAAAACGTTGTAAAGATTGAGAGTGTATCGACGAGAGTTACCTAGCTACCTTATACCACAGAATAAATAATAGTACCTTACACTCAGAATTTTTATTGGCATTCGTTGTACAGGTTTAGTAGCCACCTCGGAACAACCCGATGAGGAGGTGGAAGAAACGTATGAAAATATCGCTAGAGTCATGCATTCCTCTAAAACCGGTGTGAATGGGCGACTTCAATGCAAAACTAGCCACAGGAGAGAACGGTGAGCTGAAGGTAGAAAAATTCGGAATAGGGCAACGGAAACCAAGCGACCAGCAGCCGACTGACTTTATAAAGAAATAGGGTTTCTTTGTGATGACTCTTTCTTCCAGAAGCGGCTCTACAGAAAGTGGACCTGGACGAGCCCCAACGGTTCGACAAAATTGAAAGTTACTTCATTATGACGACTAGACGGAAACTGTTCAGTGATGTCATGAGGGTGAAAATTGCCACCGATCATCGAATGATGAGGGGCACACTATACCTAAGCGTCAAGTTGGCGAGGTCACGTCTAATAAGGTCAACGTTTCGTCCCCATCGTACTCTAATCCAAAACCACGAAAACTTTCAGCTAAGTTCTGCAAGACCCGGTGCAGATGAACCCGAAAACTGACCAATCAGACTCAATTAATCTCATAAATAAGGTAAGGTTAAGATAATATTAGACGGGAAATGAAGCAGCAGTCTTCAGCAGATATGACAGCATGCAGGAAACTGAACAGACAAACCTCCAATTGCATGTAGCCAGACTTACGCAACTTCAATACAGATCGTATACTAGAAGAAGCGATTGAGCGAAACAAAGGCTCCAAAATGTTTGCCAGAGATCTGTCCGCTCAAAAAAGTTCTTTAATTCCATACTCCATGGTGGCACTAACTCGAGTGCGTGGAGCAGAAAGTGCGGTGGTCTTGTTCTTCAAGAAAGGCGACAACGCTCTGTTAAAGAACTACAGACAGATTTCCCTTCTGAGCTGCGTCTACGCGCTGTTTCGAGAGGCATTACGAATTGACGACTTCCATCCTCCCGAACAAGTCGTTTTCTGAATAGGCTTTAGTACCATAGACCACATACATCCCCTTTAGCAAATTGTACAGAAGACCGTATAGTACAACCGGCCACATTACCTTGCGTATGTGGACTATGAGAAAGTAACTCTAAATTCGCATGCACTTCGATAAGTAACACACCATTGTATTTTTACGCGGACCTTAGCTTATTAAAACAACTTTCTCGTCCTCAAGGCCATCAGTTAATGTAATGAATGAGGAAATGCTCTTTTTCTTCATCATCATCAATCCGTAATAGACCACTGTTGGACATGGTGCACAACATTATACTAGTGAATCACATCAGCAGTGTGAAGCCGGTGCGAGTGGCTTGTAGTTTTAATAGTCTATTTATTTAAACTTATATCATTTGACCTTCCGGCTTTTCGCATTGGACACGCTCTGTTAAACCAAGTATCATGTTTGGCAGTTTACGTAATTACCTGCTAGTTATACATCATATAACTATCTCATAATGCATGATGAATAGTTATTACTCTATTATTCGTGAGTAAAATGCCACCAATTTCATATTTTTTTTATATTATGCGCAAACTAATTCATAAAAACAAATTTCGAAGTATATCATACAGAACGAAGTAACTACAAATTTGTCTATCGCAAACGAAAGCTTTAACCGTGTAGTGATGCCCCATATCACAGTATAAATTAATATGGAACAGTAAAGAAACTAAGCTTAGTTGAGGACATAATTACCTACGCTGCATTGAAGTAATAGGGTTGTAACTTTTAAGGTTTTTATTTCTTTTATTATTTTATCTTTTTACATTTTTGTTATGTAGTGATCAATCAATCGAATTTGAATATTAATCTCAGCGAAAGACTTAAGAAGATAGTTTAAACATTATATTTCAAAAGCCGTATACTACGCAATACGTTCGTGGCATTTTTAAAAAGATCGCGGAGAAAAACTTGACCACCTCTGTGGTGACCATCTCTGTCTTGACGCGGCACTCGGTACTGAGTTCACCGCGACATTCGCACCACAAAGAAGCTGGCTTGGAAGTATAACCGCTCAGATAAATGAATAAGTGCTCTAAATTGCTCACTAATTGCTCAATTCAAATCCGCATTTGCTCACACTATTAATGAATTATTTTATTAGTTATTAATAATTAAAAATACAAAATATTTTTTACCTATTATAATTAAAACCAATGTGACTTTTTCTATAAATTAATAAATACCATTAATTGCTCAAGAAATGCTTAATTCAAAACCATATTTGTTCACACTATTAATTCATTATTTAATTAAAAATTAATAATTAAAAGTACAAAATTTTTTTTTCCATAACCGATCAGAATACTGAATAGGTGCACAAAATTGCTCACTAATTGCACATTTCAAATCTGCATATTTATCAATATTTTATCAGTTATTAATAATTAAAAATACAAAATTGTTATTGCCTTAAAACCAAAGAACTTTTTCGAAAATGAATAAGTACTCCTAATTGCTCACAAAATGCCTAACCGTAATACGCAATTGTTCAAACTATTTACTAATTAATTAATTAGTAATTAATAATTAAAAGTACAAATTTTTTTTCCATAACCGATCAGAATACTGAATAGGTGCACAAAATTGCTCACTAATTGCTCATTTCAAATCTGCAATTGCTCATAATATTTATCAATTATTTTATTAGTTATTAATAATTAAAAATACAAAATTGTTATTGCCTTAAAACCAAAGAACTTTTTTAAAAAATGAATAAGTACTCCTAATTGCTCACAAAATGCCTAACCGTAATACGCAATTGCTCAAACTATTTACTAATTAATTAATTAGTAATTAATAATTAAAAGTATAAAATTTTTTATTCCTTAACCGATTATAATATTGAATAGGTGCACAAAATTGCTCACTAATTGCTTATTTCAAATCTGCAAATGCTCACAATATTTATCAATTATTTTATTAGTTATTAATAATTAAAAATACAAAATTGTTATTGCCTTAAAACCAAAGAACTTTTTTAAAAATGAATAAGTACCCCTAATTGCTCACAAAATGCCTAACCGTAATACGCAATTGCTCAAACTATTTACTAATTATTTAATTAGTAATTAATAATTAAAAGTAAACATTTTTTTTCCTTAACCGATCATAATATTGAATAGGTGAACTAAATTGCTCACTAATTGCTCATTTCAAATCTGCAATTGCTCACAATATTTATCAATTATTTTATTAGTTATTAATAATTAAAAATACAAAATTAGTATTGCCTTAAAACCAAAGAACTTTTTTAAAAATGAATAAGTACTACTAATTGTTCACAAAATGTCTAACCGTAATACGCAATTGCTCAAACTATTTACTAATTATTTAATTAGTAATTAATAATTAAATGTAAAAAAAAATTATTCCTTAACCGATCAGAATATTGAATAGGTGCACAAAATTGCTCACTAATTGCTCATTTCAAATCTGCAGTTGCTCACAATATTAATCAATTACTTTAATAGTTATTAATAATTAAAAATACAAAATTGTTATTTCCAAAAAACCAAAGAACTTTTTCGAAAATGAATAAGTACTCCTAATTGCTCACAAAATGCCTAACCGTAAAACGCAATTGCTCAAACTATTTACTAATTATTTAATTAGTAATTAATAATTAAAACTATAATTTTTTTTTATTCCTTAACCGATTATAATATTGAATAGGTGCACTAAATTGCTCACTAATTGCTCATTTCAAATCTGTAATTGCTCACAATATTTATCAATTATTTTATTAGTTATTAATAATTAAAAATACAAAATTAGTATTGCCTTAACCCTTAATTTCATGGTGATGGAAATTTCCATCGTTAAGAATTTTTGTCTTTATTTTTAGTTTGTGATCCGAATGAATTGATTTACGGACATGTATATGAACATCGATGTTTAGGCAACATTTTTGAACGAAACAAAGAACTGTCAATGTCAACTGTCATGGTCAATCATCTGTTCAAGTGAAACGATAACTACTTGTGGTTTGTGGTGTTTCTGATTGTTAGTTTGTGAACTTATACGGACAAGTAATTATTGAAAAAATTATTATTTCATAAAATAAGGTAAGTTTTCAATACCTAAGCAATTTGTTTTAGAAAAATCATAGTTTTTAGATGTATTCTGGGTCTTTTTGTTTATGATGGAAATTTCCATCAATATGCATTAGTCGTAGTTCTCGATGTATGGAAACCTAACTTTTCAGCACTATTATTCTTTTATAGTTTATCTCAAGTTTATAATAATTTTTATGTAATATTTCAGCAAAAATGTCTTTTCCAAGATCAAGAATAATCAATGATAGAGACATTGAAGAGTACTTGTCTGCTCTGGAAGGAGGATATCTGTCAGAAGATGGCATGGAAATGTCTGATACGGAAGATAATGAGGAAAGTATCTTTTACACCAACAGAAATGAACCACTGCAAGACGTAGAGGATGATGATAATCTGGAAAATGAACCTACTTTACATGAAGAACAAGTTGATGTGCATGATCCCCCTCTGATTCTAGAAACTGTGGCATCTAAAACAGGAGAAAACTCTGCTTGTTCGACTTGGGTGTTAGACAAGAGGAAGCTGATTTGGAAGAAGAGTACACTTCAGTTTTCTGAGTCAAATATTGAATTTGAAGGAAGCACTGATCTAGGTACTGAAATAACAGCCCTAAAAACACCATATCAATGCTTCAACTATTTTTTTACACCTGAACTTTGTAACAAAATAATATCAGAAACTAATCTATATGCCAACCAATTAAATCCTGAAAATAGATTTAATTTGTCTCATTATGACCTGAAAAAGTTTTTAGGCATTCTGCTTTACATGTCTGTTCAGCATTTCCCCAGCACACGCAAATACTGGTCAAGGCGTTTTGGATTTGAACCTATAAAGCAAACTATGAATGTGAATACATTTGAAAAGATCAAAAAATATATCCATTTCAATGATAATGACAAATATATACCAGTTAACCAATCAGGACATGACCGCTTACATAAGGTGAGACCAATTATTGATAGTCTAAATCAAACCTTTTCCAGTGTGAAAAAACATCAAAGACTATCAATTGATGAACAAATGTGTGCCACCAAAGTGGGACATTATCTAAAACAATATCTACCAAATAAGCCCCATAAGTGGGGATTTAAGTTGTATGTTTTATGTAGTGTTTTTGGATTTGCCTACAAATTTGAAATTTATTCTGGCCAAGACATTTCTACAAGACCTGAAGGTGAGCCTGACTTAGGTTCTACAAATAATATTGTGCTTCGCTTAACCAGAGATGTTCCACGAATGGTCAACCATATTATCTTCTTTGATAATTTCTATACATCTGTGCCATTAGTTATCTATTTGGCTAAGCAAGGAATACATTGCCTTGGCACAATTCAACAAAACAGAATTCCTAATAACAAACTACCAGACAAAAAAGAGATGATGAAAAAAAATACCCCTAGGGGTACTTATGAAGAAAGAACAGCATCATATGACGGAATTGATTTAGCTTGCATAGCATGGAAGGACAATAAAATAGTGACTATGTTATCAAGTTACGTAGGAGCAGAGCCTGTTTCAACCGTCAAAAGGTTTGATAAAAAGACGAGGGAAAGAGTTGATATATTGTGTCCAAAGTCCATTACAGAATATAACAGTCATATGAGGGGTGTTGACTTGTTAGATAGTTTCTTGGATAGATATCACATAAGAGTAAAATCTCGCAAATGGTATATTCGTATATTTTTCCATTTGTTTGATCTGGCTGTTATCAACTCCTGGATTATATATAAAAATAATGCAAAAAAAGAAAATGTTGCAAAAAAGAACATTTTAAACTTAGGTGAGTTCAGAAACGAGCTGGCCTATGTTTTATGTAACTCAGGCACAAATGAAAATAAAAGAGGTCGGCCTAGCTCTTCCAGCCTGGAGCAGGAGTTGCAAGCTAAGAAGAAGAGGTTACAATCAAACCAATCCCTCCATTGGATATACGGATGGATGGTCTTGGGCACTGGCCAGATGTTGGTGTGTCGCTTCGTTGTAAGTATCCACATTGTACAGGATACACCACCATAAACTGTGCCAAATGTGGCATAAATTTATGCCTAAACAAAAATAATAACTGTTTTACTAAGTTCCACACTACCTAATATCAAATATGGCAATTACCCATATGTATATTAACTCTAAGTGCATAGTGATGGAAAAATCCATCGCATGATTTATAATATATTATATGAAAAAAAAAATTAGTATAACTATTTTAACATTTTTTTATATAATAAAGAAACTTTATCTGCATTGTGCATAATTTTTTTATTTTTAAATCCATAATCATAAATATTCTATGCATTTAAGGGTTAAAACCAAAGAACTTTTTTTTAAAAATGAATAAGTACTACTAATTGCTCACAAAATGTCTAACCGTAATACGCAATTGCTCAAACTATTTACTAATTATTTAATTAGTAATTGATAATTAAATGTAAAAAAATTTATTCCTTAACCGATCAGAATATTGAATAGGTGCACAAAATTGCTCACTAATTGCTCATTTCAAATCTGCAGTTGCTCACAATATTTATCAATTACTTTAATAGTTATTAATAATTAAAATACAAAATTGTTATTTCCAAAAAACCAAAGAACTTTTTTCGAAAATGAATAAGTACGCCTAATTGCTCACAAAATGTCTAACCGTAATACGCAATTGCTCAAACTATTTACTAATTATTTAATTAGTAATTAATAATTAAATGTAAAAAAATTTTATTCCTTAACTGATCAGAATATTGAATAGGTGCACAAAATTGCTCACTAATTGTTCATTTCAAATCTGCAGTTGCTCACAATATTAATCAATTACTTTAATAGTTATTAATAATTAAAAATACAAAATTGTTATTTCCAAAAAACCAAAGAACTTTTTCGAAAATGAATAAGTACTCCTAATTGCTCACAAAATGCCTAACCGTAATACGCAATTGCTCAAACTATTTACTAATTAATTAATTAGACATTTTGTGAGCAATTAGTAGTACTTATTCATTTTTAAAAAAGTTCTTTGGTTTTAAGGCAATACTAATTTTGTATTTTTAATTATTAATAACTAATAAAATAATTGATAAATATTGTGAGCAATTGCAGATTTGAAATAAGCAACTAGTGAGCAATTTTGTGCACCTATTCAATATTATAATCGGTTAAGGAATAAAAAAATTTATACTTTTAATTATTAATTGCTAATTAATTAATTAGTAAATAGTTTGAGCAATTGCGTATTACGGTTAGGCATTTTGTGAGCAATTAGGAGTACTTATTCATTTTCGAAAAAGTTCTTTGGTTTTTTGGAAATAACAATTTTGTATTTTTAATTATTAATAACTATTAAAATAATTGATAAATATTGTGAGCAACTGCAGATTTGAAATGAACAATTAGTGAGCAATTTTGTGCACCTATTCAATATTCTGATCGGTTAAGGAATAAAAATTTTTATACATTTAATTATTAATTACTAATTAAATAATTAGTAAATAGTTTGAGCAATTGCGTTTTACGGTTAGGCATTTTGTGAGCAATTAGGAGTACTTATTCATTTTCGAAAAAGTTCTTTAGTTTTTGGAAATAACAATTTTGTATTTTTAATTATTAATAACTATTAAAATAATTGATAAATATTGTGAGCAATTGCAGATTTGAAATGAGCAATTGAGTGAGCAATTTTGTGCACCTATTCAATATTATTATCGGTTAAGGAATAAAAATTTTTTTACATTTAATTATTAATTACTAATTAAATAATTAGTAAATAGTTTGAGCAATTGCGTATTACGGTTAGGCATTTTGTGAGCAATTAGGAGTACTTATTCATTTTTAAAAAAGTTCTTTGGTTTTAAGGCAATAACAATTTTGTATTTTTAATTATTAATAACTAATAAAATAATTGATAAATATTGTGAGCAATTGCAGATTTGAAATGAGCAATTAGTGAGCAATTTTGTGTACCTATTCAATATTATAATCGGTTAAGGAATAAAAAATTTTATACTTTTAATTATTAATTACTAATTAATTAATTAGTAAATAGTTTGAGCAATTGCGTATTACGGTTAGGGGAGCATTTTGTGAGCAATTAGGGGTACTTATTCATTTTTAAAAAAGTCCTTTGGTTTTAAGGCAATAACAATTTTGTATTTTTAATTATTAATAACTAATAAAATAATTGATAAATATTGTGAGCATTTGCAGATTTGAAATAAGCAATTAGTGAGCAATTTTGTGCACCTATTCAATATTATAATCGGTTAAGGAATAAAAAAATTTATACTTTTAATTATTAATTACTAATTAAATAATTAGTAAATAGTTTGAGCAATTGCGTATTACGGTTAGGCATTTTGTGAGCAATTAGGAGTACTTATTCATTTTTAAAAAAGTTCGTTGGTTTTAGGCAATAACAATTTTGTATTTTTAATTATTAATAACTAATAAAATAATTGATAAATATTGTGAGCAATTGCAGATTTGAAATGAGCAATTAGTGAGCAATTTTGTGCACCTATTAAATATTATGATCGGTTAAGGAAAAAAAATTTTGTACTTTTAATTATTAATTACTAATTAAATAATTAGTAAATAGTTTGAGCAATTGCGTATTACGATTAGGCATTTTGTGAGCAATTAGGAGTACTTATTCATTTTTAAAAAAGTTCTTTGGTTTTAAGGCAATAACAATTTTGTATTTTTAATTATTAATAACTAATAAAATAATTGATAAATATTGTGAGCAATTGCAGATTTGAAATGAGCAATTAGTGAGCAATTTTGTGCACTTATTCAATATTATGATCGGTTAAGGAATAAAAAAATTTATAATTTTAATTATTAATTGCTAATTAAATAATTAGTAAATAGTTTGAGCAATTGCGTATTACGGTTAGGCATTTTGTGAGCAATTAGGAGTACTTATTCATTTTCGAAAAAGTTCTTTAGTTTTTAGGCAATAACAATTTTGTATTTTTAATTATTAATAACTATTAAAATAATTGATAAATATTGTGAGCAACTGCAGATTTGAAATGAGCAATTAGTGAGCAATTTTGTGCACCTATTCAATATTCTGATCGGTTAATGAATAAAATTTTTTTTACATTTAATTATTAATTACTAATTAAATAATTAGTAAATAGTTTGAGCAATTGCGTATTACGGTTAGGCATTTTGTGAGCAATTAGGCGTACTTATTCATTTTTGAAAAAGTTCTTTGGTTTTAAGGCAATAACAATTTTGTATTTTTAATTATTAATAACTAATAAAATAATTGATAAATATTGTGAGCAACAGAAGATTTGAAATGAGCAATTAGTGAGCAATTTTGTGCACCTATTCAATATTATGATCGGTTAAGGAATAAAAATTTTTTACTTTTAATTATCAATTACTAATTAAATAATTAGTAAATAGTTTGAGCAATTGCGTATTACGGTTAGGCATTTTGTGAGCAATTAGGAGTACTTATTCATTTTTAAAAAAAGTTCTTTGGTTTTAAGGCAATAACAATTTTGTATTTTTAATTATTAATAACTAATAAAATAATTGATAAATATTGTGAGCAATTACAGATTTGAAATGAGCAATTAGTGAGCAATTTTGTGCACCTATTCAATATTATAATCGGTTAAGGAATAAAAAATTTTATAGTTTTAATTATTAATTACTAATTAAATAATTAGTAAATAGTTTGAGCAATTGCGTTTTACGGTTAGGCATTTTGTGAGCAATTAGGAGTACTTATTCATTTTCGAAAAAGTTCTTTGGTTTTAAGGCAATAACAATTTTGTATTTTTAATTATTAATAACTAATAAAATAATTGATAAATATTGTGAGCAATTGCAGATTTGAAATGAGCAATTAGTGAGCAATTTTGTGCACCTATTCAATATTATGATCGGTTAAGGAATAAAAAATTTTTTACATTTAATTATTAATTACTAATTAAATAATTAGTAAATAGTTTGAGCAATTGCGTATTACGGTTAGGCATTTTGTGAGCAATTAGGAGTACTTATTCATTTTCGAAAAAGTTCTTTGGTTTTTAGGCAATAACAATTTTGTATTTTTAATTATTAATAACTAATAAAGTAATTGATAAATATTGTGAGCAATTGCAGATTTGAAATGAGCAATTAGTGAGCAATTTTGTGCACCTATTCAATATTCTGATCGGTTAATGAATAAAAAATTTTTTACATTTAATTATTAATTACTAATTAAATAATTAGTAAATAGTTTGAGCAATTGCGTATTACGGTTAGGCATTTTGTGAGCAATTAGGAGTACTTATTCATTTTCGAAAAAGTTCTTTGGTTTTTTGGAAATAACAATTTTGTATTTTTAATTATTAATAACTATTAAAATAATTGATTAATATTGTGAGCAACTGCAGATTTGAAATGAACAATTAGTGAGCAATTTTGTGCACCTATTCAATATTATGTTCGGTTAAGGAATAAAAATTTTTTTACATTTAATTATCAATTACTAATTAAATAATTAGTAAATAGTTTGAGCAATTGCGTATTACGGTTAGGCATTTTGTGAGCAATTAGTAGTACTTATTCATTTTTAAAAAAAGTTCTTTGGTTTTAAGGCAATAACAATTTTGTATTTTTAATTATTAATAACTAATAAAATAATTGATAAATATTGTGAGCAATTGCAGATTTGAAATGAGCAATTAGTGAGCAATTTAGTGCACCTATTCAATATTATAATCGGTTAAGGAATAAAAAATTTTATAGTTTTAATTATTAATTACTAATTAAATAATTAGTAAATAGTTTGAGCAATTGCGTATTACGGTTAGGCATTTTGTGAGCAATTAGGAGTACTTATTCATTTTTAAAAAAGTTCTTTGGTTTTAAGGAAATAACAATTTTGTATTTTTAATTATTAATAACTATTAAAGTAATTGATAAATATTGTGAGCAACTGCAGATTTGAAATGAGCAATTAGTGAGCAATTTTGTGCACCTATTCAATATTATGATCGGTTAAGGAATAAAAAATTTTT